CCATACCATTGCACACAGTATTAGTTGGTATGCTTATTGTAGAGCCATACCATTGCACACAGTATTAGTTGGTATACTTATTGTAGAGCCATACCATTGCACACAGTATTAGTTGGTATGCTTATTGTAGAGTCATACCATTGCACACAGTATTAGTTGGTATGCTTATTGTAGAGCCATACCATTGAACACAGTATTAGTTGGTATGCTTTTGTAGAGCCATACCATTGCCATTTCTTTGTTTGTACATAAAACCTATTGCAGTAAACTCGATTTTAAATCATTACTGGTATAATGGTGTTAGTTTAAAGCGCGGAGGTCGTCGCGCAGCGCGTGTTCGAATTTTATGTAAATAAACAATGTATTTTACATGCGTTGTATACGTCGCTATGAGTCCCACATCGAACAGGACGCGGCACGACGACTGCTGCCCTTTAACTTTTGCGTCACACACTTTCACCAACTGGGAATTCGGTGATACCCCCACAAACATCTACTTGAAAATATATACATAGAATATATCTGTGTATTTTGTCTCAGAAGTGAATTTACCTGTGAACATGGGGTTGTGGGGGGGGGGGGGGTCTGAGCACGCACCGATGTAACATATTCTTATCAACACTGTGAAATTAAGAACACAAAACAATAAATATACATATGTCTATTGCTTACACAAATCATCATTTTATATATGAGTACACGTAGTATTAGAGTGTATTATTTGCAGACACCATGACACTATTCAGCATTCAATTTCTACACGGCGTATATATTGCATTTCTATTTAAATATTTAGGTATAGTATGAGACACTTATTTTGAATTAGATAAAGGCTGTGTTGTATACAGACGTAGTGCATGCCGGTAATCATTACACTTCCGATGTCAGTTCTCTGTTTGGAACGTCATACCCCAATACATGCCATAAGGTATCCCACATTCCAACCAATCCTCTGTATACATAATCAAGGGCAGAATAAACAAATTCGATGACAACAAACCCTTCTCTTTCAATTTCGACGACTCGACATCCTTGCTCAAGGTCCACAACTTTGCCGACTCGCTGTTCGATGTTATGTAACATGCAAGAGCCGTTCTTTTCATTAATTTGACGAATTATGTTTATAAGCTTGGAAACTTGAGGCGTCGTTTTGCTATCTTCACTTTGTACGGTGTTATCAAAAGCAATGCAACGCCCCCCACATTTATTGATCAAGTCACTCAGACACTGGGGAACCTCTTTTCTGAAATCATCAAAACTCATATCGTCTGCATCAAGCTGATCCATACGAGTGAATAAGACGATGCCGTATTTTGCGATGTTTTCTTCTCCGAACAGAAAATACAGCCATTTTATGGAATCTGCGTGTTCCTTTGTCATTCGGTCATTGGCGTTTATGGTCAGAACAATGGCGTTTAGGCCTGTGTTGGCGTAGGTTGTACCTTTTAGAATTTCTGAAACAACTTGACCAGGCGTCAAATCTTCGTGGTTAGGGTTCATAAGAGGCGGTGTGTCAATGACCACGATTTCACTTCCATCGGGCAGCATAGACGTTTTCTCTTGCACCTTATTTGTTGTTGGCATAGTGGAACGTCTGCTGTGGAATTCTTTCTTTCCCAGGATTGTGTTACCAGTTGCACTTTTACCACTACCACTAAGGCCTAGTAAGATGACGAATACTTTACGAGCCGCCATTATTCTACCAATAACACGCACTGTAAATAGACGAGAAGAAGTGTGGTTATGTGATAATGAGCACATTGACAACACAGATCTGTTTGATGAGTTTGTGTTGTCATAGCGGCGGAGGAATACATATTGGTACTGTGAAGTTATAACCTCCTAATTGTTTAAAACTGTTGAAACGGTAAATATTAAATATATCAGTATAATGATCTTCTTGACGATCCTGTTTCCGCATTGCTTATTATCGACTACGAAGTACATTCTCCACAATTATAAATGATTCCACACATGAAAACGATCGAGCGATAGCGACGTCGTAAAAAAGTACTAGCTGAGTAGCAACGAAACATTAGTTGTCTTTACAACGAAGTCTGACTCACCAGCATGTAATGTTACGACTGTTCCGGTTAATATGGCGACCAGAATGGTTTCATACACAGCTGTTTATTTCTGGAACGCTAGCTCACTATCGATCACGTGACGTTATAGTCAGCGTTTCGGTTGAAGTGCAACTCTGACGTAAAGTTTGTAAGCATATACACAGTGACTTATAGGGTAGGGTGACCTTTGGCATTTGCATGTGTATAAATCGTTTTGCTGGATTGCCGGTGTGTAAATGTAAAATGAGTACTATCTGCAGGATTGTTTTAGGATTGAGCTTTAGGATTGAGAAATGAGACACTGACTTCGAGATGTTGACAAATATTCAGTGGCGGCGGCACAGGGGGCAGAGAGGGCGGTCGCCCCCTCGAAAAAAATGTTAGGGGGGCGTCGCCCCTCCAAAATTGGACTGAAACAATTTGTGTCAGCAAAATTTACCCCTCAAAATGCAGGAAATAGAGTTTCAGGTAGTCTAGATTTCAAAAATTTAAGGGGAAGAAAGCCCTGGAACCCCTAGTAAGGTCGCCCCTCCATGTAAAATTTCATGCCACCGCCTCTGAATATTGGAAACATACAACCTCGCGAGGGGAGGGGTAACTCTACACAGGATAAAACTTAATGAAAACAAATGCTGGAAAAATACGTGTAGATCATCTTGGGAAAATAATTAGAAAATACAGAAAAAATATTAAAATAACTCAAAAAACAAAAAACAATATAATTGTTCGCACATTACTCTGTTCCACCCCATCGCCTGTCGATTAGAACTGATCGTCAATTGGTTATGAGACATTCGTACCAATCAAAACATTATTTCAGAGAAAGTAATCTGAAATTATTTTGAGGTTGAGCTGCATACTGTATTCAGAAAATGGTTATCAGACTGTGTCAAATATGACAGGGTCAGCGCTGAGACGTACTGCATTACAGTTAGGATTTTGAAGAACAAATCACGCATTACTCAACTGCCTTCACGTGACTAGATATCTCTCCATCCATTGGTTACATTACTCAACTGCCTTCACGTGGCTAGACATCTCTCTATCCATTGGTTACCTGTCATTGAGTAAAGTACGATTGATTTTGTCATCGACGACAAATTGAATGGGATGGGTTGATATTATCACTTTAGAAAACGACAGTTTAACACTGGCATTCAACTTGGTTTTAATACTATTTGTAAACTGTGAAAGTTTAGTGAATGATATTAGTTTCTGGGTCGAGCATTTGAAAGTATGAGGGGCGGAAAATTGCAAGTTAGACAATGGAGAAAAAGGGCAAGCAAGACGTTGCAGGTACACATGTTGGCACATTCAGAAACATGAAGGCATCATGAACAAAAAGATTGGTCACTGGTCACATGCTTCCGCTCACGTTGATTCCTTATGAATGCACGAATTTGGCGAATAACTAAATTATTGTCACACAATTCAATGTCACCCATGATATTTCATCAAAATGATATTTCGTTATGTAAAGTAGTTTCACACAAGCGTTCGCATGATACGTACAAACGGGAGATGTATCGGGGAATTGAAAAAAAATGATAAATTATCATTCCGTGGCTTATTTCTAACAATAATTGACAAAATACAAGTGAAATATAATTTCTACAAGAATCCACTGACTTCGTGGTTGTACATGATACATAGTAATGCAATTGAACATATATGTGTTTACACAGTAATGCAAAAGTATACCTCTGTACTTACATAGTGAGGTAATTGAACACCATGTGTTCACATAGTGAGACAAATGAACACCTCTGTGTTTACATAGTGAGGTAATTGAACACCTATGTTTTCACATAGTGAGGCAAACGAACACCTCTGTGCTTACATAGTGAGGTAATTGAACACCTATGTGTTCACATAGTGAGGCAAATGAACACATCTGTGCTTACATAGTGAGGTAATTGAACACCTATGTGTTCACATAGTGAGGCAAACAAACACCTCTGTGCTTACATAGTGAGGTAATTGAACACCTATGTGTTCACATAGTGAGGCAAATGAACACCTCTGTGCTTACATAGTGAGGTAATTGAACACCTCTGTGCTTACATAGTGAGGTAATTGAACACCTATGTGCTTACACAGTAATGCTAATGGACACCTCTGTGCTTACATTGTGAGGTAATTGAAAACCTCTGTGCTTACATAGTGAGGCAAATGAACACCTCTGTGCTTACATAGTGAGGTAATTGAACACCTCTGTGCTTACACAGTAATGCAAATGGACACCTCTGTGCTTACATAGTGAGGTAATTGAACACCTCTGTGCTTACATAGAGAGGCAAATGAACACCTCTGTGCTTACATAGTGAGGTAATTGAACACATATGTGTTCACATAGTGAGGCAAACGAACACCTCTGTGCTTACATAGTGAGGTAAATGAACACCTATGTGTTCACATAGTGAGGCAAATGAACACATCTGTGCTTACATAGTGAGGTAATTGAACACCTATGTGTTCACATAGTGAGGCAAACGAACACCTCTGTGCTTACATAGTGAGGTAATTGAACACCTATGTGTTCACATAGTGAGGCAAATGAACACCTCTGTGCTCACATAGTGAGGTAATTGAACACCTCTGTGCTTACATAGTGAGGCAAATGAACAGCTTTGTGCTTACATAGTGAGGCAATTGAACACCATGTGTTCACATAGTGAGGCAAATGAACACATCTGTGCTTACATAGTGAGGTAATTGAACACCTACGTGTTGACATAGTGAGACAAATGAACACCTCTGTGCTTACATAGTGAGGTAATTGAACACCTATGTGTTCACATAGTGAGGCAAACGAACACCTCTGTGCTTACATAGTGAGGTAATTGAACACCTATGTGTTCACATAGTGAGGCAAATGAACACCTCTGTGCTTACATAGTGAGATAATTGAACACCTATGTGTTCACATAGTGAGGCAAACGAACACCTCTGTGCTTACATAGTGAGGTAATTGAACACCTATGTGTTCACATAGTGAGGCAAATGAACACCTCTGTGCTAACATAGTGAGGTAATTGAACACCTCTGTGCTTACATAGTGAGGTAATTGAACACCTCTGTGCTTACACAGTAATGCAAATGGACACCTCTGTGCTTACATAGTGAGGTAATTGAACACATCTGTGCTGACATAGTGAGGCAAATGAACACCTCTGTGCTTACATAGTGAGGTAATTGAACACCTCTGCGCTTACACAGTAATGCAAATGAACATCTCTGTGTTCACATAGTGGGATAATTGTACACCTCTGTGCTTACATAGTGAGGCAAA